TCTCTCCCCTTCTATTTAACATCTACATGAAACCGCTGGGTGCAATCATCCAACGACATGGGGTGGGATATCAGCAATATGCTGATGATACCCAGCTGTATATCTCCACCCTGCGTCAGTTCAGTGATGCGGTGGATGTGATGGGCCGGTGCCTGGAGGCTGTGAGGGCCTGGATGGGAGTCAACAGGCTCAGACTTAACCCAGACAAGACTGAATGGCTGTGGGTATTGCCTCCTAAAGACTATGTCGATTGTCCATCCTTGGTCCTGGGGGGGGGAGAAACTGTCCCCCTCAGAATGGGCTCGCAATTTGGGTGTCCTCCTAGACTCACAGATAAGATTGGAACAACATCTGACAGCTGTGGCTAGGGGGACCTTTGCACAGGTTCACCTAGTGCACCAATTGCAACCCTACTTGGATCAGGAGCCTCTCCTCACAGTCACTCATGCCCTTATCACCTCATGGTTGGATTATTGTAACACGCTCTACATGGGGCTACTCTTGAAAAGTGTTCGGAGACTTCAGTTGGTCCAGAATGTAGCCGCACAAGCTATTGTGGGTGCATCTAGATACACCCACATTACACCAATTCTCCCTGAGCTACACTGGCTCCCTTTTGGTCTCCGGATGCAATTCAAGGTGTTGGTTATTACCTTTAAAGCCCTACATGGCTCAGGGCCAGCCAACCTCCGAGACCGCCTTCTACCGTATAGCTCCCAGCGACCGATAAGATCCCACAGAGTTGGTCTCCTCCGGGTCCTGTCAGCTAAACAATGTCAGTTGGTGGGCCCGCAGGGGAGGGCCTTCTCTGTGGCTGCCCCGGCTCTCTGGAGCCAATTACTTCCTGAGGTCCAGACCACACCCACCCTATTGGCCTTCCGGAAAGCGGTGAAGACCTGGCTTTTCCGGCAGGCCTGGGGCCATTGATTTTGCTACGGCAATCTTGCGAGACCCGGCCATGAAATGGAGTGTATGGGTTTTTAATGTTTTCTTTTTAAAAAAATTTACGGGCTATTGTTCACATTGTTTTTTCTGCTGTAAACCACCCAGAGTCCCTAGGGAGTTGGGCAGCATAGAAATGTGACTAATAAATAAATTAAATAAATAAACTACTGACCTAGTCTAGCCGCCTGATCCACGTAGGAGCTGTTTCAACTATTCCCAACAGAGGTCCATGCTCTGTGTGAAGATCTTCAATGAACGAGAACTCAGGGCTTCCTTGACAGTCTGTTCCACTGACACACAATTTGTCTGGTCAGTCAATTTCTTCTAAGGTCCATCTTTAATCTTCTTTCTTGTAGGTCTGGCCCATCTCTTCCTAATCCTGGGCAACAAAGAATAAGTCCACAGTTTTTCTTCAGCTCTTCAGATAGATATAGATATAGATATAGATATATTATTTTGATTTATATGCCGCCCTTCGCCAGGGACTCAGGGCGGCTTACAAGGCGTTAAGCAATAGCCTTCATACTTTTGTATATTTTTATACAAAGTCAGCTTATTGCCCCCACAAACTGGGTCCTCATTTCACCTACCTTAGAAAGGATGGAAGGCTGAGTCAACCTTGAGCCTGGTGAGAATTGAACTTGCAGTAATTGCAGACAGCTGGAAGCTAAATACTACCTTTAACAGTAGCATTAGTCTGCTGCGCCACTTAGGCTCCTTATTGGAAGGTTGCTCTCATTATCTCCTCTTGGTCATCTTTTCCGTAAATACTCAGGTCCTTCAGAGCTTTATTTCTTGAGCCTTCACCATCTTGGCTTCCTCACAACCTGCTCCAATTGGTTGTTTTCCTTTTGGAACTGCTGTGCCCAGAACTGGACCCCAAACAGGGTCTGACCAGAGCAGAGGTGAGAAGAAAGGAACAATGACCTTCTAGAGCTCAGTTAATACACAGGAAGGTAATTTTGGCCTTGGGACAGCTGCAACTCACAGTTGGTTCATTAATGATGTGATTGACAAGGACAACCTTGCCTGGATCATTCTGAAGGATGGGCTGGGCCAACAGAGAGGTAACTGTTGATTTTTTAGATTCTTGAGGTCCAACTTTGCATCTAATGTTGTCAATAAACCAATATATGCTTCCCTCTATCTGTCTCCTGGTCTCTGGTTCAAAAGTCACCTGGGAAAATTCTCCTGCAGGTGCAGCCACTTCTCTCTGAGAGGAACATGCCCCACACTGCATTTTGCTATCTTCTTTTTTGGATTTTTCTATTCTATGTTTTTTTTAAAAAAATGTTTGTTTATTTATTATTTTTATTTATTTATTTATTTTATTTCTATACCGCCCTTCTCCCGAAGGACTCAGGGCGGTGTACAGCCTAATTAAAAACACAAAGACAGACAATATTTAAAAATAATTAAAATTATTAAATAATAGGCCCAATTTATAAAACCCCAAATTTAAAATCCCATTTAAAACCAAATTAAAATCTTTATATTGATAGCCCAGCCTGGCAGAACAACATGGTTTTGAGGGCACAGCGAAATACACGGAGATCAGAGATTTTACGAATTTATGGGGGGAGTTCATTCCAAAGGGCAGGGGTTCCCACAGAGAAGGCCGTCCCCCTGGGTGTCACCAGCTGACATAATTTGGCTGATGGCACCCTGAGGAGACCCTCTCTGTGGGAGCGAACTGGCCAGTGGGAGGCTACTGGTGGCAGAAGACGGTCTTGAAGGTACCCAGGTCCAATGCCATAGAGTGCTTTAAAGGTGGTAACCAACACCTTGAATCGCACCCAGAAGACCACTGGGAGCCAGTGCAGCTCACGGAGGAGGGGTACAACGAGTGGGCACAACGAGTTGCGCCCATAACCACCCGCGCGGCCGCATTCTGGACCAGTTGGAGCCTCCGGGTGCTTTTCAAGGGGAGCCCCATGTAGAGAGCATTGCAGTAGTCCAGTCGAGAGGTGACAAGGGTGTGAGTGACTGTGCGCAAGGCGTCGCGGTCCAGAAAGGGCCGCAACTGATGGATCAGGCGAACCTGATAAAAAGCCCCCCTGGCCAGGGCCGACATATGTTCTTCTAAAGACAGCCATGCGTCCAGGAGAACGCCCAGATTGCGGGCCCTCTCTGTCGGGGGTAAAGACTCACCCCCAATAGTCAGCAATGGCACCAGCTGACTATATCGCGGCGCCGGAAACCCCAGCCACTCGGTCTTGGAGGGGTTGAGTCTGAGCCTATTTCTCCCCATCCAGACCCGCACAGCCTCCAGGCAGCGAGACATCACATCAAGGGCATCGTTGGGGTGGTCTGGGGTGGAGATGTACAGCTGAATATCATCAGCATACAGATGGACTCTCACCCCAAAACCACTGATGATCTTACCCAGAGGCTTCACATAAATGTTGAACAGAAGGGGCAAGAGGACCAACCCCTGCGGCACTCCCCATGCGAGGCGCCTCGAAGTCAACCTCTGCCCCCCTGCCAACACGAACTGTGAGCGGTCGGAGAGGAAGGAGGAGAACCACTGCAGAACGGTGCCCCCTATTCCTAACCCCCTCAACCGCTGCAGCATGATACCATGGTCGATGGTATCAAAAGCCGCTGAGAGATCTAACAGGACCAGGACAGAGGAACAACCCCTGTCCCGAGCCCTCCAGAGATCATCCACCAATGCGACCAATGCTGTTTCTGTGCTGTGCCCCTGCCTGAAGCCCGACTGGTACGGGTCCAGATAGATAGCTTCATCCAGGTGCCTGGGCAGTTGTCGTGCCACCACACTCTCAACAACCTTCGCCACAAAACAAAGGTTGGAGACCGGACAGTAGTTGGCTAATTCAGCCGGGTCCAGGGAAGGCTTCTTGAGGAGGGGCCTCTTTCAAGGCAGCGGGAAAGGCACCCTCACTCATAGAAGCACTTATAATTCCCTGGAGCCAGCCTCGTGTAACCTCCCGGGAGGCCGGTACCAACCAGGAGGGACACAGGTCCAATAAACACGTGGCAGCACTAATCCTACCCAGAACCCTGTCCACATCCCCGGGAGCCACAGGATCAAACTCCTCCCAGATAATATTCTCAAGACCTGCCCTTGTCTCCTCCCCTGGACTCATCCAGTCGGAGTCCAAGCCTTCCCAAATCCGAGCAACTTTATCGTGCAGAAATTGCACAAAATCCTCAGCTCGACCCTGCAAGGGATCTTCCCGCACTCTCCCCCGAAGAAGGGAGTGGGTCACCCTAAACAGGGCGGCTGGGCGGTTCTCTGCAGATGCGATAAGAGCGGAAAAATAGTTAGATTTTGCTGCTTTTATTGCCACTAGGTAGGACTTGATATAAGACCTCACCAGTGTTCGGTCGGAATTGGATTGACTAGTCCTCCAAATGCTCTCTAGGCGTCTTTTCCGACGCTTCATCTCTCTCTCAGCTCCTCAGAAAACCAAGGAGCCAATTGAGGTCAGCATCGGGTCAGAGGCCGCAAAGGCACAATGTGGTCCAAAGCCCCAGCGGTCACCCTCTCCCAGGCGGCCACCAGGTCTTCATTCAAGCCATGTGCCAGGGTCTCAGGAAATGGCCCAAGCTCCATCAGGAACCTTTCGGGATCCATCAGGCGCCTGGGACGGAACCATTTAATTGGTTCCGTCTCCCTGCGGCGGGGGGAAACGGCAGGAAAGTCCAAGCGAAGAAGAGAATGATCTGTCCATGACAAGGGTTTAATGTCTAAATCCCCTCTACCAAGATCAGTGTTGTTTAAGTGTTGTTTCATGCTTGTGTGGTTATTTTAAATTTTGTTCTTTCTTTTGGTATTATTTATGGAAGCTACCCAATCAAGCAAATCAATTTTGCAATCAGTCAGTCAGTCAGTCAGTCAGTCAGTCATCAATCAATGTTACAAGAGCTTTTTTCCTGCAATTGTGCAGTTGCAATCTCTCTTCCACTGAAGAGGCAGTCCTGGATTTCACCACACGAAAAGTATTGAAGAAAGAGAGCCTGTAGTTCTTGGAGCACAATAAAAATCCTCATTAGAATATTATGCAAATTAGCCTGACTATATTTTGCAGAAATCAGACTTTGCTTCACTTTATATCTTGTTGAAATGCCAGTCGCTGACATGTCACACAACCGCCTACTCCGATTGTGGTTTCCAATTCTTCTCTTCGGAACTGGTAAGTTGTATTTCTAACTTCAAATACAGTTTCGGAGCAGGATTGAAATTTGGTGCTCAGAACATGGTTTGTTTCTTTAAAATCCAGGCAGGATCTTCACTTAAATAGATATAAAACGTGAAGGCACCCAACCCAAAAGGGTTGAGTTGGGGAAGAACTTCAAGAAAAACGCAGATAAGATTGAAATTATAAATTCTAGCAGAAGTAGTAGAAGATGTTTTCCCCGTTTTTCTTCGCAAAGCATAAGAAACATAAAGACAATACCATTATCTATGTTTCATATGGATTTGATATGTTAGTCAACAGTACAGTCTACATTAACAGGACTAAAAATCCAATTTCAGACTGTAACAATATATGTAACAATAATGCAAGTATTCAAAAAAATGATCCCTGTGAGAGATTGTCCTATAGTGGACAAGCATGCTTGTGGGCTAGCAGTGTGCTGTAGCAGTCCTAGCTTGCATCAAGACAGGTGTAGGTATTTCAAGATCGCATGAAGCATTGGTACCTCTTTATACTGCACTGGTGAGACCACCCTTGGAATACTGTGTCCAGTTTTGGACACCGCCATACAAAAAAAGGATATTGAGACTCTAGAAAGAGTGCAGAGAAGATTAACACAGATGATAAATGGTCTGGAGACTAAAGCCTATGATGAATGGTTGAAGGAACTAGGTAATGTCTAGCCTAGCAAAGACTGGGCGAGACCCGATTGCAGTCAAGGATTATCTCAGGAAAAAGGGGGGCTGACTTTCCAGGGTCATTTGTGTGGAAGAATCATGGGAGCTGGAAACTGGTTGGGCTGCAACAACTATCCAATAGCCACCTTGATGTTCCTTACTATCTTCCTTGGTTCACCTGGCCTCTTTGAATCCCAACTATCATCTCTATGCACAACAACTATCTGAGTCATTGTGGTCTCTTTAAATTCTACATAAACTCTAAAACTCTAAAAACCACTTTGGTGCATATTTGTGTCTTTGGAACTGGAATCCAGGGACAAGTGTTAGATTTCTCCAGGTGCTGAGTCCAGCATCTGAGTCCAGCATCTAGGAGCATACAATTGTAGAGCGGGAAAGGACTACAAGATTGTCTAGTCCAACCTTCTGCATTGTGCAGGAAAATCAGTTAAACCATTCAAGTATCCCCATCTTTCCCCATTGGCCTTGTTCCTATCATCCTGGTTGAGGGGGAAAAAATGGATTAAAAGCAGCAAAAATAACAGGGGCATCACAGAGGGTTCCCAGTTGAAGGAGACCAGCCTGGTGGCAGAACACCAGAAATACCAGTACATCAAATGAGTGTCCTCCAGGTGAGTCCTTCAGGTGAGCTGAGGCTTGGTGGTCTCCCTGGTGGGGCAGATCCTCTTTTCAAACTACAAGGGAAGGTCTTAGCTCCCATGTAGGACATTTGAACCCCTGATGCTTCCCTAAGAAGGAAAGACCAGAAAGTACTTACCTCGGAGCAATTTAGTCTTTCTTCATAAAAAGTTTTCTGGGAATCTGAGGTGCAAAAATGGGATGTTTGGGAGGGTCTCTTGTAACCCAATTTTGAAAGGCTCCTTTCTCTGGCCTTACAGGAGCTTCTGGAGCAGAAAATGGTGTTCTGGGGGAGTCTGTCACATTCCAAGTGAAGATCTCCACACCATTTGAAATTATTTTCTGGACTAAAATTGTTGGCGGAGAGTCTAGAAATATTTCTGTGGTGACCTTTGGGAAGCCATGTGGCCTCCTGGTTCCCCTCCAAGACTTTCAGAAACGAGTGAACATCTCCAAGGACTGCAGCAAATTACTTCTCAGGCATCTAAAGAAAGATGACGCTGGTCGGTACAGTGCAAAAATAATTTCACAAAACAATAAGGTGGAGGATGTGTCCTTTGAACTCCATGTTTACAGTAAGTATCCCAGCCATGTCAGGAAATTCCTGGCCCGCCTCCTTTGCCCAAAATGATGTGGAGGGGGGGGCTCTTTGGGGGAGGGGGCTCTTCTGAATACATTTTCTGAAGCGACTCAGCTTCTGGATGGAGCCCACAGCTTGGACTTCGGTCCCAGCGTGCTCTGCCCATTAGATGTTTGTGCAGAGTTTTGTCCATGTTAGCAATGCAAATTGGTTCAAGATGTTCTGATCATATGCATGCATGCACTCACACACGCACACAGACACCAAATGCCACCATTTCTCTCCCTGTTCAAGCCCAACCACCATTTTCCACACCAGATGTTTTGGCACAGCTCAGGACTTGTCTTTCTACAATGAGTTAGAAGGTCTTAGTGGAAGGCAAAGGATGAGGAATGCCTGCTGTCTTCTACCACGGTGGGCCTCTCCCTTCACAATGAGTGTCATACTTGAGAGAAGGGATAGTTGTAGAATTGTTGGGACAGAAATGGATGACCCCTATTTTCTCTGCTGTCATCTAAGCAAAGCCATTCATTCAGCCTCAGCTGCTTGTCCTTCCTCTTTGGCCACCCTGAGATTTTCTGGTCTTTCACAAATGGCGCCTCTGCATCTCCTCCTCAGGACGTTTGCTGGGCTCTCAGCTGAGAGTGACCTGCGTGCCTGATGGGGCTGGAAGTGAAACTTGGCAGCTGCATTGCTCTACGGAGACCTGGGAAGAGGGGACTGAATTGAGCTGGACCTCAGCCACCCAGAACATGGATCCCACCCTCGGGAATTCTGTGACCAAGCTCATCTACCGAGATGGTGATCTCAATGTCACCTGCACAGCAAGAAACCGGGTTAGCTGGGCATCCAAGACAGTCTCCTTAAAGCAAGTTTGTGCTGGTAAGTTTTTTTTCCTTGAAAGAGACAATGGAACCAAAGTTATTACTTACAGATGGAAATTTAGCAAGGAGAGTTGAGTTCCAATCTAGAACTAAGGAAAATTTTGTGACAGTGAGAATAATTGATCAGTGGAATGGCTTCCCTAGAGAAGCTGTGGGTGCTTCAATATTCGGAGGTTTTTAAAAAGAGTTTGGACAGTCGTTTGTCCAGAATGGTCTGGAACCTCCTGCTTGGGCAGGGAGTTGGACTAGAAGACCTTCCATTTTGTTCTGCATGAAGCTGACATTTTGTTGGGAAAATAAAGGTCCTAGGGAAGGTGGAGCTTCCTGTGGCTATTTGTGCAGAAGGATCATGGGAGTTCTAAAGAATCTGGGCTGCAAGCAAAATACGGAAGAATACAATTTCTTCATTTATTTAATTCAAGTTATAGTTACATCATATTGTGATGGTTGGCTAACAGCAATAAAAACAAAAACAGCACAAAACAAAACACAATCAGTAGTTAAAGTAAAACAAGAATGGTAAAACAACCATCTTGTGTTCCCAGGACACAACCGAGCACCGGTCTGTGGCAATGATGTTCCCAAGGACCCAACGGATCTGTTTCACCTCCTGGTCCCACCGGATCACATTCCCAAATTGACAGGGCTCCAAGCAGATTAGTGGGATCCACACACAGTCAGGGAGAGGCACAGGAACACAACTGGCAGAAAAGATATGAATTAGGGACATTAAGCTCTACTATCCAGAATTACTGACAATATTCTTAGAGTCTACTTAGTCTCATGTTGTAAAAAAAAAAAAAATAGAATCTCATGTTGATCTCTGGATTCCCACAGCAGGGGGTTCACGTCCAGCATGAATGGTTAGGAAGTGGCTGAATCCGAAACCAACTCAGCACTCATGGCACATCTTGTGTCAGTGACAGAAGAAGCTCCACATCCACATCCACCTTGTGTGACAATCAGACTCTTCCCTACCACAGTCACACATGCTGAACCGCCTTATGTTGGGACCAGCCTCTGGAGCTTCAGCTGGTCCACTGAGCGTCAGCAGAAACAATTGGGTCACGCTAATAAAGGAGAATATTTATAGCTCAGGGCTGGATGATGGGCCCTCGTTGCTCTCTGAGCTTGGTGGTTTTCTTGTAAACATCTCATTACCCAAACTAGGTAACATCACTGGTGCACTGATTTCGTTACTTAGTTTGGTAATGAAATGTCTCAAGAAAACCACCAAGCTCAGAGAGCAATGAGGGCCCTTCACTTGTGAGCACAGCTTGGTTCACCCTGGTGACACCTGCTGACACCTGCTTTGGTTGCTGGATAGACTCTGGGTTGGTTTCCAGGTTCTGTCCTCTGCCTGGGGCTGGTGGCTCTGCTGCAGCGATGGGGCCAGGCACACTGGCACAGTGGTTAGAATGCAGTACTGCAGGCTACTTCTGCCGGCTGCCTGCAATTTGGCAGTTCGAATCTCACCAGGTTCAAGGTTGACTCAGCCTTCCATCCTTCCGAGGTCGGCAAAATGAGGATCCAGATTGTTGGGGGCAAGAGGCTGACTCTGTCAACCACTTAGAGAGGGCTGTAAAACATTGTAAAGTGGTATATAAGTCTAAGAGCTATTGCTACATATTCCCTGGGGCCTCCTGAAAGGATTAACAAGGGCCGCTGCTCTTTTTTCAGGAGAAACCGATGACCTCTCTGAGCTGCCTCACTGGGCCAAGGTGTTCCTTAGCATAATGGGAAGTCTTCTCCTTCCTGGCTCTGCAGGGTTCATTCTCATGATAAAACTGAGAAGAGGTATGGATGATCTCTGAGGAAACCAACCCTTCCCTTCTCTTTTCTTGCTTCTCCTGCCCTGCAGGAGATCGTGGTTAGAATGCAGTACCACAGGCTTCTCTTTTTGCCCCCACCCCAGCTTGCCCCCCTGGACCTCTGCCTTCTGGCACCTTCTGTCTCCTAAAGCTCAGTTGATTTATTCCCTGCAGGTGGAGGAGAAAATGCTCTGGCCCGATTCCTGACTGCCTCCTGGAGGAGGCAACCATCTGAAGACCACATTAGACCTCACTGACGGATGCCTGGAATTAGTCTTCCTCTGGCCCGTCACTTCCAGATGACTATAGCCTTCCTTGGTGGCTTTTAAGAAGTTTCTTTGGGACAAGGGTGCCTCCGTGGGCACCCAATGAAGTTGATTACCAATTTAGCTAATGGGAGGGTCTCTGGTCCATGTTGCTTCTCTGTAACTGCGTTCACTTCTGCCTTGCCTGGCCCCAAAGTACCCCACCCCCACATTTGCTTCGCTATTTAATATTCGGGAGTTAGGGTTAAAACATTAGAGCCATCATTAAAAAGGCACAACAAAGAACGTTCTTCCTGCGTTGATTCAGAAAGCTCAGACTGCCCAGAGATCTGCTGATACCGTTTTACAGAGTTATTTGTACCACAATAACTGTCTGGTTTGGCACTGTAACCACACAAGACAGACACCGACCTCAAAGGATATTTAGAACTGGAGAAAAAACCATTGCCACCAGCCTGCCTGTGCTTCCCCACTCTAACCCCCCCACCCACCCACACACAAACATATATGGCAAGATTTCTACAGGTGTTTATTCAACCCCCCCCCCCCAAACAGGTCCTTGGAAAGCACCCCTGTTGCACAGGTCCATATTCCAAGCTCAGTGCAGCGAGAGTCACTGCGTAACCGAGTCCAATGGGCACACACAAAATCCAGGGAAGCAGTCTAGGAGTCAGACAGGCCAGGATATAAGGCATCAGCACACAAGGCCAGAACTGGGTATTTGCTCCAGCAACATCAGGCCCTCAGGGCGAGGTTAAGTAGGCAATCCTGGCACAGCCTTTTATGAGATATGAGGTTGCCTCCTCATGAGTGATCTAGTTGACCAGCATCCTGCCTGACTCCTCTCTGCTCTAGGTGTCCTTGGGTCAGGTGGAGGTGTGGACTCCACACATCCATTATGATTTTAACAGATTAAAAAAGTTGGAAGGGACCTTATAGGCCATCTAGTCCAACCCCACACCCAAGCAGGAAACCCTACACCATTTCTGACAGGTGGCAGTCCAGTCTCCCCTTGAAAGCTTCCAGGGATGAAGCTCCCACAACTTCTGAAGGCAACTTGTGTTCCATCAGTTGATTGCTCTCACTGTCAAAAAATTTATCCTTATTTCCAGGTTGAATCTCTCCTTCAGTTTACATCCATTAAGTTTACATCCATTATTCCTTGTCTGGCCTTCGGGTGCTTTGGAGAATAGCTTGGCCCCCTTCCTCCTCTCTGTGGCAGCCCCTCAAATATTGGAAGATGCTCTCCTGTCTCCCCTGGTCCTTCTCTTCTCCAGAATAGCCAGGCCCAGTTCCTGCAACCGTCCATCGTATGTTTGAGCCTCCAGCCCCCTCATCATCCTGGTTGCTCTTCTTTGCACTTTTTCCAGAGTCTCAACATCCAAGATCCCTCTCACAGTCACTGCTATTAAGCCTGGTTTCACCCAGTCTATATGTGTACTTTTGGTTTTTCTTGCCTAAGTGTAAGACTTTACTTTTCTCTACATTGAATTTCATTTTGTTAGATAGGGCCCAGTCTGTCAAGATCCATTTGGATCTTGAGCCTATCATCTAGGGTGTTGGCTATTCCTGCCAGTTTAGTATCATCTGCAAATTCAGTACGTTCCCCTTCCTCCTCATTGCTAGCGGGCAGCAGTTGCTCCCATCTGCTGTAACTCCTGGATAACTTGCAGCAGCTGTGGCTTGCTTCCCACTCAAACTCACCCTCCTCCTCCGAACTCACATCTGGAGTGGGGTCCAGGGATGGATCCATGACACTGCCTTCCATTGAGGATCTGTACACTGCACCAACGAGAAAGACGGCTGAGAAAATATCTGCAGATCCCTCACAAACTTTGTATCCCTGGATACAAACTATTTCAACTTCTTCCCTCTGGATGCCACTATAGGGCATTGCATGCCAAAACAATTAGACCACCAGCACCATCCCTCTGCCAAACACCTAATTGCCACAGCACTGTCTCAGGCCTAAAAATGTACCCATGTAGTAGGCTGCATTGCTATTAACCTTCTCATCTTCTCATTTTCTTCTCTTTTCTTCTTTCTCATCTTCTCATCTTTCCTACTACATTCTCCTATTGGTATCTATGGTTTATCACTTCTTGTGGTATCTAATGATTAATGAGTGTAACTATGATTTTATGATATATGATCTATCATTTTATTGTTGTTGTTGTATGTGTGTACATTGAGAGCTTATACACCAGAGAAAAATTCCTTGGGTATCCAATCACATTTGGTCAATAAAAAATTCTATCTTCAATAAAGAATTCTATATTCAGAAGTTGAAGGGTGAGATTGAGAAGATGGACATGAGACATGGAGAAGGTTGGGCTATGAAAAAACGAGGGCATGACTGTGGCCATCTTCAGTCCATGGGGGATAATTGCATAAATAGGATAAAGTGGGAAATTTGAAAGAAAATGAAGGAAAAATTGTCTCATTGCTTTCTAGAATTTTCAAATCTGGGGTGACTCTTATCTGTAAATTTGTCATAGAGTTTCTAATGTGTAAATGGGGGGAATTTAGTCCAATCTACGAATCTGCCCAATCTGATTAATTTGTTTTTACCTTTTAATGCTTTTGAGATTTTAATGTTTATAAACTTTCCAGTTTTTTGAGAGCTTGATAGTCAACAAACCTTTCTTATTTTCTTCTATAGCATATATTCTTTCAATAAAGGGGAAATCGTTTTCCTTTAAAAAATGCTGTGTGTGTTTCTTTTTTATAACATGTAACATTTCATAGCATCCCATAATATTTTTGAATGAACTTGTTAATGCTCATCCTCATATTCAAGAGGTGTTTTTCTCGCATTACTATGAGTTTGTGAGTTACTAAATTTCAAATCTATCTGCAATTTGTCCTTGGCATATTTGAACCAGTTCTTATCCAACTCTACATTCTGCATGGAGAACTTGCTTTGTTGCTTCAAGGAAGTAAAAACATCAATCTAAGAATTCTTAGTTACTGAAAACATTACTCAGAGATGCTGCCCCACTTATGCTCCCGTCAACACTCCTGGTCAACCAGGAGGACAGCCTGGTCAATGGAGCTGAAGATGCCCAGAGATTCAGGAGAATCAGGATAATTGATCTCTATCCATCCTGGATCCACCAAAGATCATCATCACCAGTACAGTTTCAGTCCCATACCCAGTCAAGCTAAATCTTGACTCCAAAGATCTGAGGCACTGTGGTTCATCCAGTGTCAAAAACAGACAAAGCCAAACAAACCTTATTGCCTTATTTGACAAAGTGACTACAGTAAATTATGGTCCTGCAAAATGCTGTGAACTTACCAGTATACTTGGACTTCAGTAATACTTTTAATAAAGTATTTGATAAATAGAGTCAAGAACAAGGGAGGTCTTCTTACCACTCTACAAAGCCTTAGTAAGACCACACCTAGAGTCCTGCATCCAGTTGCAGTCACCACACTATAAAAAAGAGGTTGAGACTCTAGAAAGAGTGCAGAGAAAGAGCAACCAGGATGATGAGGGGGCTGGAGGCTCAAACATACGATGAACGGTTGCAGGAACTGGGCCTGGCTAGTCCAGTGAAGAGAAGGACCAGGGAAGACAGGAGAGCATCTTCCAATATTTGAGGGGCTGCCACAGAGGAGGAAGGAGGTCAACTTCAAGCTGTTTTCCAAAGCCCCCGAAGGCCGGACAAGGAATAATGGATGGAAACTGATCAAGGAGAGATTCAAGCTAGAAATGAGGAGGAATTTCCTGACAGGGAGAACAATCAACCCATGGAACAGAAGCTGCCTTGTGGGAGCTTCATCCCTGGAGGCTTTCGAGAAAAGACTGGGCTGCCCTCTGACAGAAATGGTGCAGGGCAGGGATGGCGAACCTTTTACTTACCGAGTGGGAACAGGAACGTGCTTCACGCCCTGCGCATGCTCAGGTGCCATCTGCAGTAACTCCCCACATGCAACCACACCATCTGCACATGCACACAGCTTTCGTGCCTGCAATGTGCATGCACAAACGCTATCTGCGCATACACGCACAATCTCGCACACATGCACAAACACACACGCATGCGCAGGAGAGCTCCGAAGACCAGCTGGATCCCCTGAATTGCGTGCATGCGTGCCAGAGGCGCACACATGCGCAGTTTCAGGTGAGCTTGGTGATGGCTCGCATGCCCGGAAAAATGGCTCTGCGTGCCACTTCCGGCAGGTGTGCCATAGGTTCGACAACACGGGTGTAGGGTCTCCTGCTTGGGCGGGGGGCTGGACTAGATGACCTACAAGGTCCCTTCCGACTCTGTTAAATCTGTTATAGTAGACCACTTCTTGATAAGACAGAACAATGTGGGATAGACAGCATCGCCACCAGATGGCTTTATAACTGGCTGATAAACCACAGTCAATGTGTAGCCCTTAATGGAACTACTTTTACACGGAGGGAAGCATGCAATGGGGTACCCCAAAGTTCTCTCTTAGGTAAATCTTCATAAATGAGTTAGATGAGGGAACGTTTGAGGAGCTGTCACAGAGAAGACAAGACTAACCTATTCTCCACAGCGTGAGAGGGCAGGACAAGAAGCAATTAATGGAAATATAGCAAAGGAGAGAAGCAACCTAGAACTAAGGAGAAATTTCCTGAGAACAATTAATCAGAGGAACGGCTTCCCTTCAGAAGTTGTGGGGGCTCCATCACTGGAGGCTTTCAAGAAGAGATTGAATAGCCATTTGTCTGGCTTGGACTAGAAGACCTCCAGGGCCCTCTCATTCTGTCTTCCTCCCATCCCAGTTGCTCATTCGGGGGCACTTCAGCCCAGATAGACCACCCCAAAGACCACCAAAGGGACCAGAAGTTGTAAAAGGTATTGCTTACATCCTAATTTTGTTTGCTGCCGAGATGACAAGCTCAATATTGCCCTAGATCAGGGATGGCTAACCTTCCTTTCTTTGGCTGCCAAAAGTCTGTGCGCACACATGCAACAGCACACGCACATGCTAGCACCCATAATGCAATGTGTGCACCCCATGCATGCATGCACACTTCCCCTCCCCCACATCCCGCACATGCACATGCAATCCCCCCTGTGACCCCCACCCCTCACGCATGTGAGGAGTGGGATTCAAAAATTTTAGCAATCTGCACCAGGGTGGGAGTAGGCATTTTCAATCTCCCCTGACTCTGGAGGCTTTCCCCAAGCCTCTGGGAGGGCGAAAACGGCCTCCCTCGGGCTCCAGAGGCCCTCCAGAGGCTGGAAATGGGCCTGTTTCTGGACTTCCAGTACTTCTGGTAGACCTGTTTTTCGCCCTCCCCAGGCTCCAGAGGCTTTCCCTGAGACTCCGGGAAGGGGAAAACAGCCACCCCCAGGCTCCGGAGGCCCTCCGGAGGCTGGAAACAGGGTTGTTTCCACACTTCCAGAACATGTTCACTGCTCCCTCCACACTCTCCCCAAACCCCCACATGACCCCACACACATGCACACCAGGGGTGGATTCTACTTACCTTTACTACCGATTTGCAATGGGGCCGTGTTCGCACACTTGCTTCACTCGTGCAAGCACGCTCTTCTGCACATGGGCAGAAGCATTTTGATGACATTGGTGGGCGGAGCCTCCTGCCGGTTTTACTACCGGTTCTATAGAACCAGTGCGAACCAGGGGCAACCCACCACTGATGCGCACGCATCTCCCTCATGCGCCCCACCCCCTGCGCATCCCAAAAATCAGCTGGCCGGTGGGAGGCGCGCGCACACATGCACAGTGGACGTGATCTGGGTGACAGCTGCCAGCTGTGGCACGCATGCCATCGGTTCGCCATCACGGCCCTATATCAAGCAAATAAAAATTGCAAAAAAATGCACATATTGTTTCACATAGTACTAAGATAGCTGCACAATTTTGCAGCTGAATCTCTCTCATAGCAAAGAGGCAGTCCTTGTATGTTTGCAGAAGTTGCCCTAAACTGCTCCTCACTTCTTATTGAAATGCCAACTGCTGACATGTCGCACAAGATTATTCTCAGCTTGTGGCTTCTTCTCTTAGGAGCTGGTAAGTTGTTTTTCTTACTGTATTTCCAGCTTTAGATGGAGTTTCAAACCAGGACTGTAATTGGGGGCTCAAATCATGGTTTGTTTCCTTGAGTCCAGGCAGGATCTTTACTGGAATAGATATAAAACTCTGGAGGAACTTTCTTCCCACCCAAAAGAGAAGAAGAACCTCAAGAAAAAGGCAGATAAGATTGAAATGACAAACTCTAGCAGAAGAAATAGAAAATATTTTCCTCATTTTTCTTTACAAACATAAGAAACTAGGCAACTATAAAGCCATCATTTAAAGACTAAAACGATTAATATGCTATTAAAATACAACCCTATCTGAAAAGTTAGGGTCATGGATGGAGGAAAGCTCTAAACCAGGGGTGGGTTCTAAAAAATTTTACTACCGGTTCTGTGGGCGTGGCTTATTTTGTGGGTGTGGCTTGGTGGGGGGGGGAATGTGACAAAAAGTGAGTGGCCAACTTTTTTTTTTTTTTTTACTTTTAAAAGCATTTTTTCTACAACCTTAAGAGGGTAAGCGAGCGGCGACTGGGCCAAGGACCAGTTTGGGGGCGTGGCCAGCCAATGTTATTACCGGTTCTCCGAACTACTACAAATTTTTACTACCGGTTCTTGTGAACCAGTGCAAACCGGGAGCAACCCACCACTTCTCTAAACCGTTTCTCAATCTTAGCCAGTTGAAGATGTGTGAACCAATTCCCAGAATTCCCCAGCTAGCACAATGCCTGGGAAATGAGGGGAGCTGACATCCACCCATGCACTGAAAGAACCAGAAGGATCATCCGGACCAAGCCTCAGCAATGTGCACAAAACCCAGTTAAACCAGGGTTTAAACCACATAAACCAATGTGCACCAACCCCTGGGCTGTGGCCCATTCAGAACCCAGTCTGCACAAGGGGTGGGCGAGTGCACACATGTGTGCATGCACGCAGCTCCACTTGTGGGAGCAGTGGGTACACACAGCTCCACTTGTGCAAATGGAGCTGCACATGCTCACGTGCCACTCACACGAAACCATCCCCTGTTCCTCCCCCCACACGGCCTCCAGTCTGCCAAGCCAGAAAGGTTGGCGACTGCTGAGTTAAACCATTCAGCGCCCCCATCTACCCTCACTGCCCTGGCTCCTGCCATTCTGGTTGAGGGGGGAAATTTTAAAAAATTGGTGGCAGCAAAGAGGAGGGCAACTGTTATGTCCTTATAAGGACATCCGCCCGGATTGGCTGCTAGACATCGGGCGGGAAATTTGAATCCCTGTCAGGGGGCGGTGCGTCTGCCGGGAGCGAATATAAGGAGAGCTCCGGCAGCGCGCCAGCAGTCTTGACTCGCTACTTTGTACCTAATAAAGTTATTAATGTATCGAGCTGGTCCAGTCTTCCTTTTCCTGCGCCTGATCTAACACTGGCGACGAAGGACTAGAGAGAAGAACCTGAACAAGACTCTTGGCACGATCGCCCACCGAGCTGAAGTCACTACACCACAGCGACTTCCAGAATGGCTACCCCGCAAGCCCCGATGACCGCGCTGAACCCATTCAACCCACCCCGACCTTCATGTCTCCACGGATGACGAGATGGGCCATCTTCCTAGCCGGCTACTCCTACCGGCTCGTGCACCAGCCAGGCACAGCCATAGGAAACGCCGACGCGCTCAGCAGATGTCCGTCAAAAAATCCAGTC